TTCCTTCTTTTGAAATTTATTTTAAACACATTTTTAGTGTTCTGCAGGCATTTCCTCCTTTGTTTGTATGGTACAGCTGCTATTGCCTTGCTTCTTGCTGGACAACTGAGAGAATTAAGAGTTATATATATCCTAACTGGTAAATGGGTGCACATACAGTTTTTCCGTTTCTTTGTGGTTTGAAATCTAAATATTTTGTGCTGTTTTTCTTTGTATTCCAGTTTATTATGGTGTAGAAAATTCTTTTCGCAGTTTAGCCCCTCATGTTGTGCAGGCAAGTATAATAATAATATCTCTTTTCCCCTTCCGTAATATGTTTTTATTCTAGAAACAGTTCTTTCTGCATATTTGGTTTCAAGAAATTATTTCTACTCAAGAAAATTGATTATTTGTTAGTAAATATAAAGTTTTAGGTGCAATTTATGCTAAGGAAAAACATATGACACCTCGTATCTACATATACTTGATTGATATTTATACCGTGTGAAGTTTTTTCAGTCAGATTTATTAATATTACATTTTGGTAAATGATCTTTTGATGTGTCAACAGTGGTTGGTGGGTTCATATAACACTCAAATACTTCTCATGGTGTTTCTTTCCATAGTTTCTCTCTTACTGGCTGGTTTTTTTGCATATCACACTAATCTGTGTCTCACAAACACCACAACAAATGAGGTAAGATATGCTCCTTTCCTCTATACCGTGTTGAATAATTTTGTTTTTCTTATTTTAGAAAATATATGGTTTCATCAGCATTTAGTAAGTTGAACAAATTATGTAAAAGCACCCGCTTTTGAAAAGGAAATGGAATCATAGTTCAAATAAATCTGAATGACTTCTGCCCCTTGTGACTGAAGGATTGGATTGTGTCCCACCATAAGGTGTTGCCTGTTTTGGCCCTTGGATTTTCCTCAAAAACCCTCATGGGGGGAAGGAATAGGCTCTTCTTAGTCAGCCACTACCATCCTTGATTTACATTCGACGTGGATTCTAACCTCACTCCATCAACAGCAACTCAACTAATTCTCACAAGAAGAAGATGGGGAAATGAATCACAATGAAATATAATTAAGTCATCCATCTTAGTAGCAAAAAAATTCATTCTAATTGGTGATGGAAAGCTAATATCTTTGTCAAACTTGTTCGGTAATTAAAGGAGCCTATGAATGAGTTCATTTTAAGAGCCTGAAAACATTACTACCCAGCCTTGCATGTAAATAAAACAGATATGCCTGTCAAAGAACAAAGATTTATAGGATGCTCTTGTAATTTGGATCTCATGTTTTGTAGGATATTTATATTTTCTCATAAACTCCTTTATGACATGCTCTCTTGTCTAAATGATAGACCTTCAAGTGGCAAGACTACGTAAGCTGGCAAAAGAAACTAAGTGAAGCAAGGGCAAGTGCTGCAGCTCTGAAAGCGAGCATCAGTGGGATGAGTACTGAAGGAAAGCGTCGAGAGAGCAAATGCAAGGCCTTCTTCCGAAGATCCCCTCTAGAGGATGCTGATGAGGTTGTAAAGAACAATGTTTATGACAAAGGATTCTTCCACAATCTCCATGAGGTTATTTTCCCACCCTCATCAAGAGCATCATTTATGCAGACCAAATCAAAATCCGACTGATCATTGCTGTCTGAATACAAAAGTTCATTGACTTTGTTTTTGCCATAAATTGTATTTTCTTCTGTTAACATTATTGACCACAGCCTTGCAGTGTGTAGATTGTATCAAAATCCCAAGCCTTATACATGAGATACGGCACATTTTTTTATGGGTATAATAATAGGTAGCTCTCTCCTTCCTAAACCTCTCTCCACCAATCCCAAAATTCAAACTTAAAGACCTCCAACATGTTAACTTAAGTTCTTTACCATTAGAATGTCCCCTTAGGGACATGAGATATGGCACCATTGCAAGAATAATTTAATGGCTGGTAATATTGTCCAGAAAATGGAAACCGCTCAGTTCTCATATTGTAAGAACAGCAAGATTTTAGTTAAAATGAAAGAGGGTAAATTTTGTTCACGGTGTCCTTTATAGCATTGCAGATCATGGAACAACTTAAAAGAGTGCTTTTAGCTCATCTGTTCTAACTACGTGATGAGAGCATCACCAGAAAAAAAAACTATACACATTATAAAACAGTCTTAGGTTTGGAATTAAAGAATTCCAGTAAAAGGGGAAACAAATCAAAATAACATGCTGAGACAGGTTTGCAACATATGAATGCTAACAATAAACCCTAAACCCTGTTAATTTGAGAAGAGATCTACTTACACAGGAGTTTTATACACCATACTTACATAAAATCTTGATAATTTCTTTTTCTACTTTCAATTATTGAGATTTATTCACTTTTTATCTTATTTATTAAAGATAATTATCTTTTTTACTTAAAAAGTCATAATAAATCTCAACCATTGAAAATAAAAAATAGTCAATATCTTGTGTAAATGTAGTGAGTGAGACTTATATGCAAGTAAATCCCTCCTCTGTTAATTTAAAAGTACCAAAGTTACCTGTAAATACCATTAGTTAGCACCAACTAAACCCCATCCTCGAGATTGGGCAGCTACTGTTACCAGTAATGAGAATATATCATCTCCATTGGGAGTTGTTGATCATGATACAACTCTAAAGGGAACTTCAGAGAGGATCAATCACTGATTATGAAGATATCCCTTCTCCTCCAGGTAAGAAACTACTTGTGCTGCCATGTCAGCTGGTGTCGGGCAAACTCCATCTTTCTGTTGCATTTCTATCTGGAGAGGAAAAAAGATTATCCATTTCAAGCGTTTGGAAACATCACCAATGACATGGTGACAGTTCTCATA